AAAGTATTTCAAACTTTGAATGGTACAACTATCTTTAGTAGCTTACTATGTTAGTAAAATATTTGTTAATAGCTCAATCTTTGTGTGGTAGTAGCTAAAGTTTTTTGTTGTAGTAACTAAAACTTAGTACGTTCAGTAGCTAAAATGTAGTTAGTAGCTCAAACTTTGATTGTATAAACTTTGTGTAGTAGAAGCTTAACTTAACATGTTAGCAGCAAACACTATGTTTGATAGTTGCTAAAACTTTGTGGTAGAAGTTAAAACTTATACTCTGTGGCTAAAATGTAATAGTAGCTCAAACTTTGTAGCTAAAACTTTGTGTGGTAGAAGCTTAATCTTAGTATGTTAGTAGCAAAAGCTTTGTTTGTTAGTTGCTCAAAATTTGTGTGGCAGTAACAGAAACTGTTTGTTAGTAGTTAAAGCTTTGTGGGGTAAAAACTAGTAGCTAAAAGTTTGTATGATAGTATAAAGTCATATACTCTCAGTCTGAAATCATGCAGAGCTTCATTCATGTTTTAACAAAACAATCATAATTGTTCTTTTCACAACATAAAATGAGTTGGAAACTCTAACCATGGCTGACAAAATGCATTTTCTCAATTCACTTATATTAATAATGAAAGTTTAGTATGAACTTCTTAGGCAACTTTGTATTTGATGAAAAAATGTCAGCCATGTTTTGGACATGTGTCTTTTCTAAAGATGCAATCAGTCAAACTCACGTTTTAAACACATCTTAAAGATTCTGATTACTTTGCTCGTGTTTTCTGCTGTCTAATCTGCAAAAATCCATTGAATCTTGTCAAATAAAAAAAAAATCAAACTTACCTCCATGTTGAAGAGATCTTTAATCAGGTTTGAGTCAGGTTTTTTGTCGCACAGATGCAAGTTTACTGTTAACCGTCTGAAAAACTACTCAAGTTAAATAATCCTATATGACTTAAATAATCTCACGTGTGGCAATTGAAGACATATAAAGGTCTTGTGATTCTGGCATTTTCTAAAAACCTTCGGGTCACACGATTTTCTCAATGTTCTATTTGAATTAAAATGACTTTTTTCTACAGAATTTCTGTTTATTTGTTTTGAAATTTGTTTTTAAATTTCTGTAATTAGTTTTTAAAAATTCTGTTTAATTTTTTCTTTTATTTGAGAGCAGCAGATTATTTTTTGAGACCCAGTTAATCTCCAGATGTCTTTATTTAGAATCAAACTTTGAAATTTGAAGTTCAGTCTGATTTAGTTAGCATTTTCCTCTTCTTCTTCTACGTTCGCACAATCTATCTGCCTCCTGTGCTCTGCTCATGCAGGCAAATTATAATCTGTGTTCATGTGATGAGGAGCACGCGCACAGTGAACGAATTCTGAGAGAATTTCAGTCCATGGTGACATTAAAGAAACACATTAAATATACATTAGACTCAGCTGTAATGAAATAATAAAAACACAAAGAAACATTGAATGAACTAAAATACTCGGATGTTCATAAACAAAATAAACATATATTAAACCAAATCTTATCTAGATGATGAAATTGTATTAAATGGTCAGATTTAATTCCACAAATTGTATTTATTTGTTTATTTATTTTTAGTATCCTGATAGTCTTAACTGTGCTGTAGTGCATGGACAGGACACAAATTAGGTCTTTTTGTAGAGGACAGAGACATCAGTCTATCTCTGAACACTGCACTCCTCAGTCTGATGATGATGATGATGATGATGATG